GGGGGGGGTTGGAATCTCTATCATCTATTTATTCCGAGGCAGGTGTGCTTGCCTAGCACAAACCTGTACTGCACCCACGTTCGATCGCATTTAACTAGACGTGTTTGGACAACACACTTCCTGACCACTCTTCAGACAGACAGAATGGGTGTTTGTACTGTTAGGCAAAATTACCCGCCTAAACTGTTTATATGTTGTTTTTCAGCAAAAGCGAACTGTACAGGTTAAAAATGGGATTGGTTTTAGTTGTAGGGTTAAGGTTAGGGCTATTATTCGGGCTTGGAAACGGGAATATGTATCTTTTCTGGCATCATGCGCGGCGACAACTTTATTACTTATTCCCTTCTCCCATTCAGGTGGCTCTATAAGATATCCTTATCGCTTTCATGTTAGGCAGTACTAGTTGTAGGGTATTAGGTTAGGACTACGACGCAGGATAAGTTCAGTAAAGTTTTATTTTGAGAAAGACAGGCGAACGTCTTTGAGTTGCCTATTGTTTACAAAGTGGCTAAGAGAAGCAAAGAACGGGTTGTTCAAATAGTGACACGCGGAAAGCTAGCACCTGCCTGTTAAACGAAATGGTTAACGTAAGCGTCTACTTACTTATTTCAAGTAGCACAGGTATATGTAATTTAGAAGAATATCTGACAAGCATACGTAGCTTTCGATAAATTCTGCTAGATTCATTATATTTATATAGGGAGGGAGTAAAAAGTAACATGCTAGCAATTATGTTAATATCATGGGCAAATTAGTCATTGGAATAGGGGAAAGGGTGGGGTTGATAGTACTCGGCTGGTTACGAGGCGATGCGGGTTTGTCGAATCCGAACAGGGGGGAGGGTGGAAGGGGGAGAAAGCGCGGAAAGATGTAGGCAGTTATGTAACCATTGGCCATGCCAAGCTCGGGGCTTGCAGGAGGTTCTTTTACACGCAAAAAACTGGCTTCTTCAACCGGATCGTGGTTGCTTCTGTTGTTGTTAACAAACACTGACCGAGGGACTTTCGGTAGTTTGGTGGGTCCTTTAAATTACTTTTGAATCTTTGTTTGGGTCCACACGATGTTCGGAGTCAACTTTATGGGCAAAGATTGCGCTGTTGATGCTTCTGACTTCATGTATGCGCAGCCATGCCGGGAGGTGCTCCCTTATTCTTTTGGATAAGCGTCGACTCATGCGACCGTTATAAGCTGCTCCACAGGAGCAAGTAAATGAGTAGACGCACGTAGGAGTGGTCTGAGCTGGCAGCCTATCCTTACCTTTGCCTTGCAGGACCAGATTGGTTGAGAATAATAACTGAAATTTCGCTGCTTGGCAGGTTCATGATACGGCTTGGTTGAGGCGTCTGCTTAGTAGTTCGCTTGCTGCATCCCCTTCAAAAGGGACTTAAAGGAATAGGGTCTTTTTTCCCACAATGATTGTGGTGGACTTTATTTTTCTCTCCATCATATTCTTTGTGACGAATCCCTCGGGATATCCGTTCTCTCGAAACAAGTCCTGGGGTCTCTGGAGCTCCATTTCAATAGTGTCTGCCGAGTTGATTTTTCTGGCTCTTTGCGTTTAGCAGCGGACCAAGTTACTTTCCTGTTAGATATGTACAAAACTGTTTAAGTTTTTATATGGTCTGGACCATGTTTTCTTTTGATAAACGCTCCTTCGGACGTTATCGTCAGGTGTTCTACTTTGGAGGACATCCAAGAAGGGAAGCGAACCTGCCGTCTCCACTTTTAAGGTGAACTTATCGGAGGGGTGGCTTGATAAACAGTATTTATAAGCGCATTTACATCGGTATCTGCTGGGGCGATGGCGAAGATGTCATCGACATATCGACCGTAGTGTTTTAGTTTATGGATCTGCTCGCTGAATTGACTTTCTCCAGATGCGCAGATGACCATGACTTTGTTATCTTCACCTATGAGTTAGGATTCCCGAGGCAATCCGAAATGTCAGGCAAATAAAACTCTTGTTCCAGTAATCGCATCCTCTTCTTCTGATAGGTTAATATGTTAGTTCTGCAGTTGTAGGACCTTTAGGGTTACAGCCCGTCCTTGCTTTCACTTGATGCCTGATTTACTGAAACAAAGTTTGATCGTTAACTAACCCTCAAGGTAAAGCTTGCGTCAAAAAATCGTCGCATTGCTTCTAAGATCCCATCCAGCTCATTCTTTTACGCGTTTTTATACTTTTATCGTTGCCAAATGTTTGTTCTTTATGCCTCTGCATATATCTGAATCCTTGTTCCATATTTCCCTTCCCCTCTGTCCTTAAAGATGGATCCTTCTGGTCAGCATGTAGCTCTACAGGGCGGACTCTTCTATCTCTTTGGGATCATATTCTTTAAAATGGACGGCCGCATTCCCCTGGCCCATGCGATTTGGCATTGTTTTGTCGCCTCTGGCGCCTATACCCACTTCGTGGCAATCGATACCTACCTTCTCACTTAATAAGCCTCTTTCTTGTGAATCGTCTCTCCTAACCATTATTCTAGGTACGCCTAGATCGAGCGCACACAAAACAGCCACATTTTCACGTATACTCTCATTGTTGACTACTTTGGCTCGTCTGCATGCGTTTCCACCTGTTTTTGAGTTAGCGCAAATATGTCTACTCTTAATCATAAGAAGCTGTGTTATGTATGCTTCGTCAAAGTCTTCGAACTTAAATGTTCCTACTATCTCAACAGGCATTGTTCCGCCATGTAGCACATATTTATCTTACCTCCTTTGAACATTCAAATTC